CTATTCTTATTTCCTGTAAAATAATTCAGTTCAATGTGCTTTGGACTGGTTTTATTGCAGGTTTGTAAGCGACTAAGACCATGCCTTTGTAACTCTTCTAAACTTTCAGCCTTATCTTCACAGTGCTTGGTGTTTATCTCAATTTCTTCATTATAATCTGTGGTTTGTGTGATGTTCGTACTTTTTATGTCCATTTTTGGTTCCCTTTTCAGTTCTGTTGATTCACCAATTCTGGTTGCAGTTCTTTTTTATTTCTTTAATTTCAGCGCAACTGTCAATTGGTTATTTCTTATGATATGCCTTCTTACATTGGCAAGTTTCTTTCCGCCAGTGTACTTTCTAATTGCTATTATTATTATTATTATTATTATTATTATTATCTTTGATTTCTGGCGTTTACATATTTCTTTCCGGGTCCCGCCCAGGGACCTAAGGTTAGAAATGGCATCATGACATTTTCCTGTCAAAAAAAAAAATTAAATTACATAGATAAACCCTTCGTAAAGTGTGGGCTGTACTTGTCAGAACAATTTTTTGTATCTCCTTGAGGCATGGATTTCCAGGAATCTCTTCAATTAGTCTACTGGTATCTTTTCCAACCAGTCCTAGGACTCCAACTACAACAGGGATTGTTGATGTTTCCATATGCCACATTATTATTATTATTATTACTATTATTATTATTAGGGATTTTAATCCATCTTATTATAGTTACATTTTGGATGAAGCATTGTTATTATTTAATTATGAATTATATTTAAACTTGTCGTTATCTTTGGATTCAGTCAGGTATGTGCTAAGCGTGAGATACGCTTAGGCTATCATGTATCTTTCGATTCATGACTGACGCGCCTGATTTTTCCCGCAGGAGGTTGCCATTTATTTCTGCGGTAGACCAGTTGCCATCCAAGGCTGGGGGAGAAGAAGAAGAGGATTCATATCTTTCCCAAGGTTATTAGCACGTAAGCGAATGTAATGGATTTGACTGGAATTCGAACTCGACTCTCCGATTCCTGAATCCGAGTGGCTATCCATAACGCCATTACTCCACCGTGCTTCCTCTTTGGATTAAACATTTTAATTATTATTATTTTTTTTACTAGTTTTACTCTATCTTATTATTGTTGCTTTTGAGATTAAACTTTTTTTAATTTTATTATTCATTTTACTCCTTTTTAATATTGTGATTTTTTTTTCACCTGCTCTTTTTGAAGATTTTCAAATATGCATGACAATCTGCAGGGACAGACATGTCAATAAGAAAGCACATTCTGTTCTTGTGGTCTTTGATCGGGATGTCTGGCCGATTTTATTATTATTATTATTATTATTATTATTATTATTATTATTGTTGTTGTTGTTATGGGGTCCTCCCCTTTTTCATATAAGTGGATTCGACCAAAGTGTTACTTGGACTGCTGCCGTTAAATACCCTGAGTCAGTCAGAATATAGGAAGACAGAGATTGTGATTGAGTTGGAGGTAGAGTAATAGTGTGAGGTAACCGCTTGTAACCGCTTGTAGAAATCAGTTACAAGCACATTAGACTCTCAGGAAGTCCTACTTCGAGACTGTAAATATATATATATATTATTGCTACTAACCGCGTCCCTGGATTTACTAAGAGTATTACCCTTTGTATTATTGTGTTTGTACATTTAATTTCTTATCTTTAATTCCTGCGTTTGTCATTCATTGGAGACCGAATTTCATCTCGGAATCCATTATTATTATTATTATTATTATCATCATGGGATGAAATGACGTTTAAACAGCATTTTAGAATTTTAATCGGTTGTTATTTTAGAAAGCTGGATGACTTAATGTTATATATTGAATTATATGCAGAAAAGGTATCGTCAATGGTCAGGAATTATTCTATAATTCTCACTTTGTGTACTAACAAATATTTTTGTTAGTAAATCGGAAAAAATGACATCTAAACAGCCTATTTTACAAATTTGAACTAACATCTGTTGTAGCATGCAGAGGGAAATGACTATTACGTAATGAAAGTTTAAATGAAAGGGATTGTCAGTGGTCAGGATTTTTTCTAAGCATCATTGACTCGGCTGTATTAAGTATAATGTAAATGCGCTGAAAACGATTTTATTCGTCAGGTCCAGTAAAATCGGATCAGGAATAATTGTAAGCATTACCAGCAGGATCTGGCTATAATCTGGAAAGTGTATATGCTTTGATGATGATTTTTAGAAAGAGATTGTTAATGGTCACGAATTAAGACAAGCATTCGTAGCAGAGAGTAAAGGGTATTATATGCATAGCGCAAGTGCATTACGCATGGTTTTGCTGTAGAAAGACATTGAAATCAGGAAGATTCTTAATGGCCAGAATTTAAGACAAGCACTTAGCACAATGGATGGTTGTTATATGGATAGCATAAATGCATGGCTGATGATTGTACTCTAGAATGCTTTGTAAATCAGGCAGAGAAAAATACAAAGCCTAGGAATTAATGTGAGCATTTTTAAAGTGTATGGCTATTTTATATGTAAAGTAAATATGTTGAAAATGTGTTTACTCAGTATCATCATCATCATCATCATTCGACTTCTCTATGATTGGTCGAAACTCCAATAAAAATCCCTTTCCAAACGATCCTGCATTGTGTCCCCAGATCCTCTCTGTCCAACCCTGAGGTATGGTGTCTGGGAAAGTCAATTTTAATGTGATGACACTTCCACAAGGATGCTATATGAGTAAGGATGGGACGATTTCACTGGGCGATCGGTGATAGTGGCCGGCAAACTGTAATGGTTTATGTTTGAGCTTAAGGGAGATTGGTCTCAGTTTTCCATAAATTGTGTTACGCGGTGCATGGGATCTCTTAAGTACATGGACAATAAAGAATAAAGCGATTATAAGGGATTAAGAATTAAGTCAAGAAGTATTGGCAGAATAAGTCTATTAAGGGCTCAATACAAATATACTGATCATGATTTTACTATAGAAGTGTAATGCAATAAATATTACTATAATAATGCATTTTCCTAGTTAAATGCATTGAAAATTATAAAGAGTTTTCAGTGCTTAGGAGCTACTGCAAACATTATTGAATCGGTTTTTATATATATATATATATATATATATATATATATATATATATATATATATGCCATCTTTAAATTCCTTGGGGTACAAAGGGCCCCATGATATCATTGCGGTTCTGTAACAAACCAGTTTTTTCAGTGAGTAGGTTGTTAGCCTACTGCACAATCCTTAAACTGTAGGATCAGGTTTTGAATTCAGAGTTGTCCTTCTCCTAGGCCGGTTGCCATCCAAGGCTATAGAATGCCAGTCTGTCCTGCTATTTACTCATAGCTGAGAGGAAAAGAAGAGGATTCATACCTTTCCAAAGGGTATTAGCACGTAAGTGAATATATTGGATTCGACTGGAATTCGAACTCGGCTCTCCGCTATCCATTACTCCACCGTGCCTCCTCGGTTTATGTTTATAATATAAACGAATTTATTAAATACTTTATAGAAATAAACGACAAGAAGCGCTACTATAATAATGTATTGAAAATATTGGTTTCAGTCACACAGGAATGGCAGCTAAAAACATCCATTCGCAAATTCATAGACAGATCATAGAGATGCATACTGGGATTTCTTCCTAGCCAATAAGATCGGTCTCATCCGCCATATTTGTGTTCTTTATTGTCTTGAATTCAGAGCGCTGCAATCACTTGCCTGTGTCCCTTTTCTGTGTTAACATCATTCTTTGTTTGTAAACAATTTGTCTTATTACTCTTACTTTGTCTACTTCTATGCTGCAGACACACACACACACACACACACACACACACATATATATATATATATATATATATATCATAATTTGTGTATTTAGGCAGCAAATTTTCTTTTAGACATGTCTGATTGAATAAATTACAGACATTATGTCTGCTAATTTTTAATAAAATCAGTTCATACTCAAGAATAACCTTCCGTGTATGGATGAGAGTAATGTGCTATAGCTGTTGAAATTTCTTTGATTTTCATTTCCCAAGTACTTTCTGATCTTCTCTCAAGATGTATATATATATATATATATATATATATATATATATATATATATATATATGATAAAAATACAAAACCATCCTCCTGTCCAAATTTATAGACAAACCGTACAGATGCATGCTGGGATATCTTCCTACTCAATAAGATAGACTACTTCTTGGTCACATCCGCCATATTTTTTCTTCCTTGTCTTGAAATTCAGAACGCTGCAATCAATTGTCTGTATTCGGTTTGTGTGTAGACACCATTCTTACTTTGCGAATTCATTTTTTTGCCTCATTACTGTTGCTTTGTCTAATTTTGGATTGAATATATATTTTTTTCTTAGATTGTCATTTATTGCTAAGTTGTGCCACATCTAAGCATCGCTTAGTTAAACACCATAGAGTTTTTTTTCTTTCCTTTTCTTATTGTTTTATGTAAACTTTGTCAATTTCCTTTTTGTTAGGCATTTTTGCCAATTACTCTTAACCATGGCCAATTACTCTACAGAAAATTAATTTACTATAGAATTACAATTAAATTTACTATAGAATTACAATTAAATTTACTATAGAATTACAATTAAATTTACTATAGAACTGGAGAGAAAATAAGCACAAGAGAGGCAGGAGTGGCGGATATTTGACGGGTAATTTTCGTCCTTGGCCCATATGTACACATATAGGCACCCTACAAATCTACCTTGTACCCCATCCAACCACACTGCGGAGAGATGATTGTTATATACCGTAACTATGAAAACTAATGGGTATGTCCCAATTTTCATAAATACGTTGGATACTATTCTAAGTCGGGGTAAAGTGATGTCTAAGTAGTCCACGACTAGCAGTGGTTTACCTGCTTCACGCCGCTGGCGTGTATTGTATTTTGTTGATGTTATAATGATTACCATTTCATTTCCAACCCCCGTTTTGGTTATTCCTCATTCAGTAACCCTTCCTAGGTTACAACACATAAATAGATAGATAGATAGATAGATAGATAGATAGATAGATAGATAGATAGATAGATAGTGTTGGGGCGCACCCCCTTCTCATCAGAATGGCTTGATCTCTCTACTACTAATAGGACAGTTCTATAGAGTTCTGGGAAGATCAGGTGACCATCACACTTCCGTCTCTCTACCGGAAGATACAGTTGGACTTTATACTCTTTCTGATTGTTACTGACTAACCTGCGTTCGTTTGACTACTAATCTCTCTGTTGTAAATACCTTTTCGGATATACCAGTATTTTTCCCTACGTATGTGTTTGTCCTTATTTCAATACACGCACGCAAATACTCAACATTTCAACCGATAGATAGATAGATAGATAGATAGATACAAAGAAACAAAAAGTGACATAGTGTTATATACCGTACAAATGAACACTAATGGGTATGTCCTAATCCTCATAAATATGTTGGACACTATTGTAAGTTGGGGTTAATATGCTATCTAAGTAGTCCACCACTAGCAGTGGTTTACCTATTTCACGCCGCTGGCGAGTATTGTATTTTATTGATGTTATAAAGATTTCATTTCCCACCTCCGATTTGGTTATTTCTCATTCAGTAACTGTTGTAACCTAGGAGAAGGGTGCCAAATAAGAATAAACCATAATGTTTATAATAGGAACAACATACAAGACTTGTCAGCGGCATGTAGTAAGTAATCAACTGCTGGCGGTGAACTAGAAGCGAATCAAGGTGAATCTTAAGTGGAAGACCACAGTGAAGATATTCATTAACCGCTCCACGCGGCTGGATGAGGCACAAGGCCAAGTTTATTGTAGAGTATCCGAGCTCGTAGACTCGGACAAAAATTCCCCGTAGACACAGTAAAACGGGCTTGGGTAGCTGTCTACCACCGCAGACGAGTTTCTGCCCGTCAGCACAGCCTTGCCTGGGTTCCTTTCTGTCCAGAGGCAGAGAGTTTGACAAGGATATTTACCAACAGCCTCAAGCGGTCAGATGTGGCACAAGGCCGAATTTAACGTCGGGTATCCGAGCCTGTAGACTCGGGCAAAAATTCCCCGTAGACCCCGTAAAAAACGGGGTCGGGTAGTTGTCTACCACCCCAAACGAGACTCTGCGCTTCAACACAGCCTCGTCTGGCTTCCTCTCTTCCCGGAGGCAGAGAGTTTGACAAGAACACAGTGGAAGACCACAGTGAAGTATTTATAAGGATAGGTACGATATAACCCTTTCTAGGTTACAACAATGATTACCGTTTTCTAACAGGGATCAGAGTGTATTATCTGTTCTCCTCCTCTGTATAGTGTTTCTACTTTTCTGTAGATCACGTTTTTGGAATGAGGAATGTATAGTCCCGGGGAGTCCAAGCCAGCTAAAGTACCTCCCACATTGCACGAAAGAGAGAGTTCGTGGATTTTTTACACCTGGCCCGTATATACGCCTATGGGAACCCCTTGTTAAACCGATCACCTGTCGCATCCTACCTTGATGGGAGGGGGAGATAGGAGTAAATAAAGAATCAGCCCCTCCTTTCACGTGTATTTCTGATGGGATGAAAGTGTATCTGTTGTTGTCTGTGTATTAATATCACCGAACGGGCCTCGTGTTTTCTTCCGTTACAATAAACGATCGCACTCTGAAGAGAACGCTATGTTTTGAATGTTCGCTACGGACATCCGGTGGAACTCAGATATACGATTAATCGCTAGAGATGGTGGAGAAAATGGTCAGTTCTTTGTACTGTTCCAGCAAGTAAGCGATTCCTTTTGTCATACTTATTCTTTACAAGATCCAGATTGGAGCAAATATCTTGGATCTCACGTAATAGACTCCCCAAAAGATTTCAACATCGGCAAAGCTCTTGCATGGAATGCGTGTAGCAAACTTCATAAGATTTGGCGCTCGAACCTTCCATCCTCTTTAAAAGTCCAAACCTTCCGAACATTGACTGAACCAGACCTACTCTATGGATCTGTTCGTCTTGGAAGGACGACTGGATGGAACATATAGAAATCTACTTAGACAAATCCAGAACATCAGTTAGGGATCCCATGAAACACTTAACACAATTTACAGAGAAGCGAGACGAATCTCTCTTAAGCTTAAACAAAAATGATAACAGTTTGCCAGCCACTGTCACCGAGCGGACAGGGAAATCGGCTCATCTTTACTTCTATGGCATCCTTCTGGAAGTGTCTTCTCACAAAAATTGACTTTCCCAGACACCATAGCTCTGGACTCAGGGTTGGACATTGGGGACAGCAATGTAGTACCGAACAGTATGATAAGGGATTGTCAATGGAGTTGCGACCAACCATAGAGAGGTTGAAAGATGATGATGATGATGATGATGATGAAAAGTGTTTCTAAACGTTGTAGATAACGGCGGATTCATACGCATAGATCATACTTATTATAAAACCCAGGTTGTGTGTGTGTATCTGTTCGTTTATATATTGGATCGGTTTTCCTACACTTTTCAACCGATTTCAACAAAACTTCACAGGACTACGTAAAATTACATTGCGGTGGCTCTGACGGCGCCAAAAATTGGAAAAACACAAGTGTTTTTGCACGAAATCAAGTTGAAAACACGATTAAGAGGCATCGCTATCGCTAGAATGAAAGTGAGACAACTCATATCGAGTTATACTTATTATAAAACCCAGGTTGCGTGTGTGTGTGTTCGCTTATATATGGAATCAGATTTCCTACATTTTTCAACCGATTTCGACAAAACTACTTTTTTTTGGCAGGTAGTGTTTCTTATTGTCTTGCATACTTTTTTCTTTACTTTTACATTCAGAATGCTTTAAAAATTCCATTTACAAGACAATTGTCTATAATAAAATTCTATTCAATCGGTAGACTCATAACGATTGAAAACAATGTTTTTGTTTGAGTTTGGGTTTCACCAATTCGTAAAAAAAACAAAAACTATTTAAGACATGCGTGTCTGTCAACCTTAAACAATAATCTTTGTCAATTTTATTTTTCAGTCTTTATGATGGTCGATACTTGATCTATCTCTTACTGTTACATCCCCGGGCAACGCCGGGCTCTACTGTTAGTATCTACTAAGTGTAGCTTAGTCTCGTACAATAACACGGCTGTGGAGCCTCCGTGGGGATCGAACTCACTACACTATTTCACTGGTTTATATGACTACCTTGCTAATCAGCCCGCTTTTCTTCATGTCCTGAGTTCAAACTCCAGTCTGTTGCGTTCATTTCACGCAAATATCCCTGAGAAAGTTATGAATCCGATTCATCTCCCCCGGCTATGGATTAAATAGTCGGAAAGATTGCACTCTCTAGCAACTGACATCTTCTGTCATGCTTTATCTTGCATGGGATGCATGTAACGAACTTCACAAGATTCGGCGCTCGAGCATTTCATGCTCTTTAAAAGTCCAAATATTTTGAACACTACTTGAACACGTTCTACTGTATGGATCGGAAACTTGGACATTATTTGTTCGTCTTGAAAGACGACTGGATGGAACATATACAAATCTGCCTAGAAAAATCAGTTGTAGATCCCATGCTATGCTTAACACAGTTTATGGATAATTGAGACTAATCTCTATTTAGCTCAAACAAAATCGATTACAATTTGCCGACCGCTGCCACCGAAAATCGTTTCGTCCTTAATCCTATGGTATCATTCTGGAATTGTCTTTTCACGTAATTAGACTTTCCCAGACACCATAGCATCATCATCATCTTGCGGCCTCAGCCGAGATTGAACTCACCAATACTTTGATTGGTGTAGTTCATAATCTTGTCAAATAGCTGAATTCTTGAATTCTTGATTCTTCGCTAGGGCTATCAAGGGTGTTTTTATCGTGACACCATCACTAAATGGATTGCCAACCAAGGCTCAGAGAGACTCCATTCACCCTCCGCAGGTTTTGAATTCAGAGTTTTCCTTCTCCTAGACCAGTTGCCATCCAAGGCTATAGAACCCAGTCTGTCCTCCTATTTACCCATAGCTGGAGGGAAAGAGGATTCACACCTTTCCCAAGGGTATGAGCACGTAAGTGAATGTAATGGATTCGACTAGAATTCGAACTTGGCTCTCCGATTCCTCAATCCAAGCCGCTATCCATTACTCCACCGTGCCTCCTCACCATAGCTCTGGACTCAGTGTTGGATATTCGGCATCTGGGGACAGCAATTCAGGACCGAACAGTGTGTAAAGGGATTTTTAATGGAGTTGTCAATAGAGACCAACCATAGGGAAGTCGAAGGATGATGATGATGAATGCAAACTATCGCTATTTCCACGGCAAATGTTCAAACCATTACATGGAGGCCTGTCACGCTACGTTCACATATGTCAAACCTTTTCCTCCTATTCCATTTGCAAGGAAGAAGTTCCACTGAGAATGTTTTTTTATTTCTCGAGAACTGCTAATCTGTGGAACGAATTACCGCATGAATACTTCCCTGAACCCGGAAATCTTAACCTCTTCAGGTGAAAGGTCAATCGCTATTCCCTTTTTTCCTCATACTCTTCACTTGTTTCCATCACCTCTTAAATTTATAGCACAAACTGTATTCAGTAACCAACTACCATAAGTGGCTCTTGAGCCTTATATTGGCTGAACTTTGATATAAAATATCGGCCTTGTGCCATATCTTATCAACGTGGATGGGGTCGGGGATTAATCTAGTGTTGCAGCATCGACCAGACCCCAGATTCGTTCGCAGAATGCAGCCACTTCCAGCCAAAGGCTTGTCGCTAAAAAAAAACCCTTTGGTTACATCGGTACCCACAAATTAATACCATGATAATTTGTAGCAGTAATTAGATTTAATTGTCGTGTTCTAACCTACCGCTCTCGACGAGCGAAGCCGAGATGAGGTATAGGTGAGTGGGAAGATGAGCAGTTTAGCGGGCCTTTTCTCTTTCACGACGTTCTCCGCGGGCCCTCTTTGTCTCTGTGCCTTTTCCGCTGGCAGTGGCCACCGTCGTATAGAGAACATTGTTCTTTGTCTTGTCATCTTTGTCTGAAAAAAAGTTATTTATCTTCAATCAGTGACTCTCTTTGTCCTAAGCTTTTGCGATGCACTCGTGAAAACATTACGCTTAACTGACAAATGTCGGGAAGAGTAAATGTCCGGAAATATTTTTATGACAGATCAGCTGTTTTACATTTATTAAGGTATCAGCTGACATTGATATCGTTACATTAATATCGCCATCAACGTCCCATTTCTCTGGGTAGTATCTGCTTTCTTACTTTCGGTTGCGTTTCAGCTTTCAGAAAGTTCAGGCTTCTTTTTTTATACTATGCTTAACCAATTCAAGGCCCAAGAGCCACTCAGAGCTGGAGGTAAACTAAATGAAGTTGTTGTATGGACGTAAGGGGTTGGAATGAGG